GCCTATAAATAGAGCACATCACTTGTATCAAAAGAGAGAATGAATAAGAAGAACTCTTCCCTCTCTTCTCTTGTGTCTTTCCCTCTCTAATCATCTCTTGTAGTTGCTTATATTTTCATAGTTTCATAACACGTTATCAGCACGAAGCTCTGCTAGCATCATGGTTGGTCATTGTCTCTTTACACAATCCAGTATATTGGAGTAAGATCACAATATGATCAAGGTATGTAAATCTTATATCCTTTCTTATCTTATTGTCTTATTTGTGTTGACATTATCTCATTCCAATATATCAAGATGGGCGCTACTCTTTTCTCGTATCCATTGATATTTTATCACGTCAATCTATTTGGATTAACAAGAAAAGTAATATAAGTGATGAGTTAATTTTTCAGTTCTCTGTGTTATCCTATTCTTATCAATCCCACATTGATATGTAGAAAATGCAAGTTCCAAGAGCCCATATATTCCCCAGAAGTGGAAATTGAAGAATTCAAAGGCAAATAAAGAAAAAAACATGGTAATAAGAATATTGGTTTTGTATGTTACCATTGTAATGGAAAATTGCATTTGTCTCGTACCCGTTGTACGCAAAAGACCCTATTCTACCAAGAATCAAAGGGAAGAGCAAATTCAAATATGCTGATGCAATATCAATATTATGGAACATATTTTTTGTATTATAAGTTGGTATATTCTCCATTAAAGATGAAAATGATATTGCACTTGAGACATTTTCATTCCTAGAAGTGAATGAAATAATCTATTCCCCAAAGTGAATGAAACTATAAACATAATTATATATATGATAAATGTATTTTATGGATATTTTCACCAGAAGTGAGAAAAGAGGAGAAAAAGGAGAATTATAAATAAGGATGACACCATAATTGCATTATCAAAGTCATGATAACATAATGTACCTGTTGTACATTATAATGTATAATGAAACGCATATATAAATTTAAAATCACCTAGTTAGTGATAGTATTGTTCCAAATAAATCTTATTTAATTTTCACAATTGTAGTATTATGATTCTTATTTATTTTATGTTTTATTGTGACGTTATTTTTCATGCATAATTTAATTTGATAACCTTTATCTAGAACAATTAACTTGATAAATTCATCATTTTTGTCTTAAGTTTGAAATATTCTCATTTATTACTTTTATTATGTTTCTATAAAGTATGAGTATTAGAAAAATTCCATATAAACTATATGATAGAGTACTTAAATAAGAAAAAGCTTCCGAAGAGCTTATGTTTGGTTACTTGAAGTAACTAAATTATGTACTCGTGATAACAATTTGTGATGATATTCACTATGAATTTGTGTTTACTAAGAATGCATCAAATCATAAGTCCCTGGAAGGGTGGAATATGGTACAAAATATGATAAAGCTTTAAAGGGAGCTAATTTTGTGGCCTGAAAGAACCAAACTACCTAGTGATGATGCATTCCCAATTAAAAGGATATTCGTAAAATGAATATCTTATCAAGAAAATAGTGAAACTAATATTTGCATCACAAATATGTACTACATGTATATTAGTACAATCAGTACACATAAAAGTGTAAACCAGAAGTTTACAAGATTTGATAACTTGATAATTGGTTGGACCGGTTAGACCATCCCGGATCTTGATGTGAAAAAAAGTTCTTTGAGAATTCATGAGAACATCATATGAGAAGTCAAAGAACTCTTCAAATAAAAGAGTTATTATGTCATGTTTGTTCTCAAGGAGAATATAACAATTGATCATCGCTTGTATAAGAGTTGACAAATCTCTTGAGATGTTATGGACGTGTATGCAGAACAATACATCAGTCATGTGGATCATTTGTGAATTTTATGGGTTGCTGCATCAAATGTATTTTATCTAATCGCAACCCGATGTTTGCGAGATTGATTGTCTCACTATGGATACATTTTGATGGTTATCCAATCAAACATCACTTTGCTTAAGAGAACAAACTGAGCCTTCTGGTCTCTTGTCGAGGACATGCTAGCTGGCAAGTGATAGTATTGGTTCACATCTAACCAACAAGTTATCATAAGTTCTCCCCTTTTACAAATGGTTTTGGTCAGAAACTTAACCTTTCTCATATGAGAATATAAGGGTGTGCGCATACATCCCAATTGCTCCACCACAGTATCTTAAGCTGATTCTCGTTGGAAATTGAGAATTTGTGTTGGGTATGAATCCCAAATGGGAAATTGGTTTGCGAAATTATTGTTTTGATGGATTAATTTCCCAACATTAAGGGGGAGAGGAAAAAAAACTGCTAGACAAAGAGATGAGTTGGAATGAGTTATCATTATCTAGTTTTGATCCTCAAAGTAGAAACATGAACCTGAAGTTCATAAGATGAATTATCATTACCAACTATCAAATGCATTTACTGGCCATACGAAGTGACCAAGTCACATATACTAGCTGTGAATGCTCCAACTAAATTTGATATCCTTGTTGGATACTCTAATATAATAAAAAATGTGTATGAAAGAGAGCATGAAGCATGATAGATCAATCGGTTCCAATGATAAACATCCTCGAGAAAGAAAATGAGCTATAATTAGAATGGTCAACTCGAGGACATGAAAACTCAAGAAGAGTAACCAAGAATTAAGTATAATTTTAGTTCCAGAAGAACACATGTCTATGAAAGTTGTGAAAAGGAAGAGATCTCAAAAACATATTAGATTACAATACTGGAACCGAAATGAAGTCATTGTCGACGAAATTTGTTTGTTGTACTTCAGTACTGAATATGATATATACAAGTGAGGATCAAGAGTAAAACTTTATTGATGCATGAAAATGATAATGTTATTGGCCAATATAGAAAGAAATCATGAAACTTGCTCAAGGAGCATAAAGTTTAAGGACCAGAAGTCCTTGCACCTAAAAGAGGGCAAAAATAGCGGGATACAAACAAAATTTTGTGCTATTGGAAAGTATGAAATTGTGAGAGATATAACACAATGTTTTGCAATGGGTTTCTCGAAAAGACCTATCATTGTTTAAGAGGAGTTATACTCCCCTGTGGTGGGTGCAACTACTTTTTCAAATCAATGTTTGAAAATTATTGTGATAGCCTATTTGTTTGAATTCCCTGAAGATGTTAAATATATTTAAAACTCCCAGAAGGATTAATTACTCCTAGAAGGATTAATTTACCTAAAGTAAACAAGTAAAGTTCTCGAGAATATATAATGATAGACTAAGAATATCCCCTGTATGGGTTGAGAAAATATAGACGAATGTGAAATACTCGTCTAAGTGAACACCTACAACAGTAGGGTGAATGGACCTTAAAAGGTTAAATCCGGATAGAGTCATTAGAGCATTTGCATTGTGCATATATACTTGTGTTGTATGTATGTGCTTCAAGGATTTTAAATTCTTGATTTATGAGTTGTGATTTACTTTAAGTATGAGTTGTGTTTTATGAGTGTGCTTTGTCTAGTTCGTATGTTTCTATGATGTGTGTTTTGTTAATATCTTTCGTGATATGAAAGAATTGCTTGCTTCAATTTGTTTTAGTCAAGTTTTTTTTATGACCATCTCATATTATGTTGATGATATGTCTATTATTGGAGCTCCTGAAGAGCTTCCTAAATCAGTTGATTGCTTAGAGAAATAAGTTAAATTGAAGGATTTAAGATCCTTTGATGGGCAAGGAAGATAATGCTGAAAAAATGGAAAAATAATTTTGCATGAACAAATTATGTTCATCAAATAACATTAGGATTCTAAGATCACTAGAAGTGACCAAGATCCATTTATGCAACAAGAAAGAAGTAAATCATTAAGTCCTGAAGTACTAAATGTTGATGTAGGTCCTGAAGTACCATATGTTGATGCATCAGAGCACCAATGAACCTTGCTAGCAAAACACCATACAAAATATCATTTTGGTGTTGATAATATTAGCAAAATACAATATTTCCCTCCATGGAACGTTGGAAAATACTTTGTTATCTTTAGGAACAATATATGCGATTGTTCTATTGTGGTATTATCAAAGAGTGATTTGGTGAATTATATATCCAAATTCTATGTACCATTTGATCCTCATATTGGTTGATCGGAGATGAGCTATATCTCTTACATATGGTGATATAAGTGTTTCATAGAGAAACAAACAAACTATAGTAGGCAAGTCCTGAATATATTCCGTTACACTTTGTGATTCACCATACCTAAAGGACTTGTGGTTGTGAACTATTTTCAAAGGAAATGATCTTGACGATCATGTATGAAGAAAATCTGAAGATCATGGATCAAATTGACAATCTAGTGGATTGTTCACTAACTCACTCCCGACAACAATATTTTTAAAAGTTGCTCGTGAAATTTGAGTTCAAAGACTCAAAGATTTGAAGTGATGTGGTCATGAGGGGGAGCATATACGCACTGCACTCTTTTTTCCTTCACCATGGTTTTTTCCCACTGGGTTTTCCTGGTAAGGTTTTTAACGAGGCAGTATGAGATAGCGTAATGCAATCTAGTGGTCATCCAAGGGGGAGTATTATGTAAATATTGATATATGGATGACCATTGCTATTACCACATTAGATGCTCACTTGGGAGTTAAATGTAACCCATATTCCTACATTTGATAGCTCCTTTATATTTCTTTATCTCTCATTATTATAAGGATGTAGTGGTTACAAAAGTGTGCCTATAAATAGAGCACATCACTTGTATCAAAAGAGAGAATGAATAAGAAGAACTCTTCCCTCTCTTCTCTTGTGTCTTTCCCTCTCTAATCATCTCTTGTAGTTGCTTATATTTTCATAGTTTCATAACACTGTAAACTTTTTTGACATTATTATAAACTAAATACAGCGATTCAGACACATATAAATAGATACACGCACACAACACACTCCTCCACTTTATACTTGAAGCCTAAAGAAAGTTCAAGTAGCTTGGCTACCTAATAGCTTCGCCATCCCCTCCAAAGAAAGTCCAATCCTCCACCAAAAATGGCGGCGGCAGCAGCCATAACTTCCGTGGAATGCCAGAGCCAGGTCAAGTCATGGCGACTCTTCCGCTCCCTCCTCGCCTTTCTCATCCCCACCTGCAACTGCACCACCTTTTCCTCCGACGACCACTTCCTAGAAGACGACCAAGAAACCAAACACCACCAATACCCCATTAATCCCAAACCCTCCGCCGCCGCCACATTAGTCACCGGCACCATATTCGGCTCCCGCCGCGGCAAAATCAGCCTCTGCTTCCAAACCCACCGCAGCAGCAACAACAAGTCGCCAAACATCCTCCTCCTCCTCGAGCTGGCGGTCCCGGCGCCAATCCTCGCCCGCGAAATGGAATCCGGCGTCCTCCGCATCGCCCTCCGCAGCACCGCCGCCGACCGGGACGGCGGGGGCAATGATAGGGATTTTTGCAGCACTGGCTCGCCGCTGACATCGGTGCCGGCGTGGACGACGTATTGCAACGGGAGGAGGGCGGGGTACGCGGTGAGGCGGCGGCCCACGGAGGCCGACGTGGAGGCTCTGCGGGTGCTGGGGTCGGTAGCGGTTGGGGCGGGAGTGATGAACGATGAGGTGACGTATCTGAGGGCCAACTTCCAGAGGCGGCGGGCTTCCGGCGGGTCCGGGTCGGAGTCGTTCCACCTGGTTGACCCGGACGGGAGCATCGGTCAGGAGCTCAGCATCTACCTTTTCCGATAGCTAAGCGCTCACCGTGATTATAAATTATGAGTAACTAATTGGGGTCTTCTTGGTGGGTTATCAATGGTGGAGAGTTGGTGATCAAGCCAAGAGACAAAAACAGGAATTAAACTGCTATTAATTTTCTGTTTAATGTTTTTTTTTCTTTTTGCCCTCTTTTTTGAGCCGTGCTTTATGTACATTATTATTATGAAGTGGGTGGGAGGTTACAAAGCACGGCTTTCTTTTTTTTGGGGCCCTGATGGTTGCTTCCTTCGCGAACCACCTATGGTTTTCTTCTTCTTCTTCCCCCTTGGTTTGTCCTTTTGCACAAAAAGAAGTTAATAAACAGAGCAATATTAACATATATATGTGGTTTCAACTTTTCCCCGCCTTTGATGTTTGTCGTTATGTATCAATATCAAAATCATCATCAATATCAATATCCCAATAATAATATATAGTACACTTTTGTATATTTTTCTCCATTTTAAATTTCCTACAATGAGAGTGAAAGTAGGAAGGACATTTTTGTCTTTACAATTAATTATTTATTTCACTTAAAATATCAACATCAGGATTGAACCCGAATCTCTTAAAACAAAGAGAACAATCACAATCATTTAAACTGACAAATTTGTTGTGTTTTTTCGAATACAAAATATACACAAAGTTCAACTCTCTGAAAATCGCAGGACTTTCCATCATGATTAGCAAGCCCGCTAAGTATACCTTATGTATTTTTATGGTGCTTGATACTTCAATTTTCATGGTAGAGCTTCATGTACTTTCTCCATTTTAAAATTATTTCTCTCTCCTTAATTTTTGCTAAAGGTAAATTGGTAATTGGCTAACATGGAAAAAAACTAATTTTGTCACTACGTGTTATGTCCTTGCATTTTTCAAATTAAATTTTGTGATTTTTATATGTTCTTATCTCTTTCTAACTTTCTCGAAAATTCCATCCATCGTACAATAGTTTGCGCCCCTTTCACTTCCCAGTAGAAGGTCGCCTTTGAAAATCAATTATCCGGTATCTTTTGGCACGTCGATTTTATTGTTGGGGATTTAAGTTGGGCAAGTAAAAGAGTTTAATAAATAATGGAGTTGCAAAAGGTGGATTATAAATTGAATTTTTGGTTGAAACATATGTTTCTTGAGATAAAAATTTGGTTGTACAATGAAGAGTGGTGACTATTGGATCTTTATATTTATGGTTTTTACATCTATCACAACCTATTTCTATCTTAAACAAGGAATCATTAATTGATTTATTGAAATAGGTCGATTTTTTATTCAACCTACTGGAACTGATAGATAAGGAGTGTCTAATGTTGTGTCTTATTACTTTGATTGAGTCTATTAGTATATTGGAGATAACCCTAATTTTGTCGTTTGCTCTCAAGTTTTGATGGTCCCCTCTTAGCTGATTTGTTAGCATATAGTTGACTTGAATCAACAACTCTCCATTTCTTTTTGATTAGTGACATATTATTCATAAAGGAGCGCATCAAACCCTTATGTAGGATTGTGAGGTTAAGATTTAGTTTCAAACTATCTAAGGGTCGTGTGGAATTTCATTGAGCTTTTATACCCTCTTTCTTGACAATCAACTAACCAATAGCATTTTAATGAGGGCTTAAATATCATTATGAAAATGGAATTAATGATACATGACACGCTAAAACACAACACCAAACTGCGACCAAGTGTAATCGCAGTCCGGGAATGCAGTAACAGGCAAGTTCAATTATCAACCCGGGGTCTAGATCTACTGCTTACTCCGTGATTCTCTATTATCTAGCAAACTAGTTCGAGTGATTGTTGTTAAAAGCAAAAGCAACAAGAAAGCAGTAAATTGTTCGGTTTTCAAAGTCAGGAAAGAGTCACTCGGGATTGAGTCCCCCTAGCCCCTTAGTTAGGTTCAATTGTAATTCCCTGGGTTGATTTACTGTTGATTAGACTGCGGAAGATCCGACAGTAGCCTGGAATCTCTTAAGCTGACCAAGCCCTCTCAGTCTAACTACCCGGCAGACGACTAGTCTTCACCGGGATAGAAAGCTGAGGCTATGAACACAGAACTCCACTACTGGAATTGAATTCCAGTACAAAGCAGTAAACTGGCTAACTCTCGTATAGCCAATCTCCTACTATCGAATGAATAGGCTCTAACAACCTAATCAGATTCTATCTATCTCAGGTTGCAGCGGAAATTGAGAAAAGCTGATCAGACTCCAATCAATTCAATAAACATGCGTCATTCGATTAAAATCAAACAGTAATATCATCCCAAGTCATTACAAACAAATCCCTAACACAAGGAACTAGGGTTCTTCATACCCAAGTGAGAGAAGGGTTCTACTCCATAGAGAGGGAGAAGAAAACAGTAATCGGATTAGTCATACTCATAACGATGAGGAAAATCTGCTCCGGGACGATGATTTCCACTCCTATGACGATCTCCAAGCTCGATTCAATGAAATCCAGCTCTAAGATAGCTTCTAGGATGTGTTCTTCGTACTTTCTCTCTCTAGGGCTCTGTTTTTTCTCTGAAAACTCGATTCTCCCACTTTTGGCTCGGAATAGGCTCTAAAACCAGGATTTCCCGACTCACACGGCCGTGCAGATCACCCACTTGGCCGTGCGGCTCAAAACGCAGCGTGTCGTTTAGTTCGACCTCAGGCTTCTCACACGGCCAGGGTGCACGGCCGTGTAGGGTTTCCATCCAGCCCGTGCTCGGCCTCGGCAAAAACCACACGGCCAGGGTTGCACTTTGCACGGCCGTGTGATTTTCATGGTTTGCCCGTGCGTGGCCTCGGAAAAAAGCGCACGGCCATCTTGCTCACTTGCACGGCCGTGTGATGCCCTAGCCTGCCCGTGCAGCTTCCTTGAAACCTCGCCATTCGTCCGATCTTCGTCCAATCGACCCCAGACTCGCTCCTAAGCCTTCATTCACGTACTAGGACCTGAAATATCACAAACAAGCACAACCTAGCGTGAAATCGGCCTAAAACACGAGAATCAATACCTCAAACGGTGTAAGAACGGGGGTAAAAACATGTGTAAATGACGGTCTATCAAACTCCCCCACACTTAACCGTTTGCTTGTCCCCAAGCAAACCAAGTCAGACACCAGGTAAGCTTACATATTTCAATCAACCAACATCGGGGACAAGTCATAAAGGCACAGAACACGTGAATCGCACTGGTTTTCAAACATCAATACATGAACAACCTCAATAACAACCTGGACAACCACCACAAAGGACATTCGAGTGCAGCAAATCGAGTAAAGGAAGAGTCTCCCTTCTGTTCACTGGCCAACCTAGACTTGATTCAACCACTTACTCAAAACAGTCAACTCATGCATCCAACTCAAGACATCAGAATAGAGACCGAGCAATCTAGGTCCTCACCGGGGTACAAGAGCATATAGAAAATGAAAATGAATCACTCACTCTCGACCAGTGGGGTCAGGACAATTTGATGCGAAAGATGCGCATGCTATTTCTCTCAATCCCTATCATCTCTTCACCATGATGGCAGCCTCTAAATGCTAGAGTTTACATATGGGGTGTCACCACTAACTAATCAGGAGGTCTTAGACACAGGTTCAAATGACTGGCTAGGGTCTTGGACATGGGGAAAAAGCCTTTTAGGTGGTGGAAGTATTCATAGCAAAAGGTTCCACATTTTCCAAACACACAATCACAGTCAAACAAACCGGTATTTCTTTCTGCTATTCTGCATTACTCAATATCTCAAGAGCACAAGAGCGAAGGAGGCATAAACATCAGCATTTCCAAGCCAGACTGCTAAGAAACACTACTTAATGGGCATTATTCAGATTTTTGGTAGTGTCTCTCTTCTGCTTTCAATTTTCTTTTTCTTTGTTTTACTTTCATTTTTCTTTTCATTTCTTAAGAGAGCCACCACTTCTGCACAAATTTCAAACACCTGCCCAACTTTTAAGCACTACCTCCAACACTCACATAGACTTTAGCAGAAACAGCAGAGAATATGTAAAAACCACTCTGTGGAACCTTCTAAAAGATGCAACAAGGGTGATTTTTTCCATTATAGACCAAAAGAAAGGATAACACACGGCTCAAAGGGGCTGACTAGGGGATATGACACATCAGGACAGTCAGTTTTGGGCGTGGCTAATCCTATGCCCCCATCATCTTAGCTAGTGACAACGTGAATGCTACACATCATGGAAGAGGGATCTATCGCACAAGAAAGAAACGAGCAGGCTCAAATCACACATGGCTACCTATATGCTCTATCTCACATTCTGATACCCTGAACTAGATGCATAAACGACTGTCAAGAACAAGTAATCAGATCAAGTCACAGTTGGCAAGCAAACAGTTGAAAAACTGAACCCCTACATCGTTCTACTGCACATCTCAGTCCTCATCATAGGTTGTCATAGTCACAAACAAGTTGTCATGCATTAATCCGAAAACCAATCAATTCATCCATCAAAACACAGTGCCAATATGATCAAACAGCAGTACTTGGAGCCCTCAAATCGTAAGGTTCGGACAGCGGACTAGGCTCCAAGCACCCAAATAAATATTCCAACCGATACAAAGCACCCCCCCACACTTAAGCATGACATTGCCCTCAATGGAGTAGAGGGAAAGATAAGGGGAACGATGTTACCGGATTGGAACACTGCTGGGGGACTGGAAGTGGACCAGTCAGCGAGAAACAAACGGGAGAGTGGATAATGCTGCACAAGTCGAACACCAGAAACACACTAGCACACTGTGCGTTAGGGATAAGTGTTAGCCCAGACGGCTACATCAAAAACAAACCACATAGGAAAACCAAAAACAAAAACAAACGACACTGAGTTCAAGCTCCGCACACATGGAGCAAACACACAAGAGTCGAAAACGAAAAAGAAAACACACTGAGACGGCAACGAGTACAGCCTACTCGTCGCCAAGATCGTCGAGGTCGATGTCGTTCATGAACGCGTCATCATCAGCAACGCCAGAAGCACCATC